CTTGCAAGGGACGTTGCGAGCAGTGCACCCGCAATAGCTTGGAGGTGTGGGTCCCAAAGGGTCTCGTGTATCGCCCAGGGGAGCACTTTGGGGCCAAGTATTAGCTGAGGCAAAAGTAGTGTTTCGTGTATGTGCCTGGGCAAAGTACGGTACGGGGATGTATTCGGGGGCCTGGGTACACAAAGGGCTAACACCAAAACGTACATCGGAACCGATTATAACCTGGACTAGCCAAAAGCTTCTGAGCGAATTTTCTATGCAATCGTGCCCACGATGGCTCAACCCTTGAATCTTCGTGGAATGTCAAGTAACTTTTGAGCAGCAATCCGAACATTGCAAAGCAAAATATCCTCTAAACTATACACCCTGAACCGTTAATCTAAACCTTAAACCCTAAACCCTAGTATAAGCCCTAAACCCTGTAAGCCCTAAACCGTTATAAACCCTAAACCCTAAACCCCAAGCCCTATAAGCCCTACAAGCCCTTAAACCCGCAGAACCCTGAGTCCTAAGCCATGGTTTCAGAAGGGTTGCACGGGGCCCAAATTCTGATCCTAAGCCCTTACAAGCTTAACCCAAGGCATTTACAACTCGATTGAGTTGTGGCTCGGCTGGCTTGGGGTTTAAGGGCCTGGGCATAAAGCTTAGGGAATTTAGGGTGCACAACCTAAACCATAAACCCTTAAGCCCTCGTCCATTGTTTTGCGTCGGCGGTGCCACGGGCCTTCCTTCAGCGCTGGCAGCTGCAGCAGCTGCTCGGCTAATTAGCGAATTAATAAGCCGTCCCTCTAAGGCCTAGGCCTAAGCTATGCTAAAGTTGCAAGCTATGCTAAAGACCGGTACCCAGTACCCCTATTTTAGAGCATCTCACCAAACCCCTAGCCTAGCATCCCCCGAGCACACCATCAGAGAACGGCTCCTTGCCCGTGTGCAGCCTCAGCCCCAATCGGTCTTGGCCCGCACAGCATGTTACATATATTGTATCCAAGATGCCACACATAATATCGTCGAAGCGTGGATTTTTCCATACTTCGAGCATGAGCTTTGCGAGCGATCCCTTGGCCAAATGGCGTGTCTTAATCGAATCTGGAATCCGTAGCTGCAGCTGTGGCACGAACCAGCTTCCCGTTCATATCCTCGCTTGCAAAAGTGTGATAGCATCTGAAGTTCAAACCTCAGCTGGATTAAAGGTTCAATTTAGGGTTTAGGGTTTAGGGTCTCGGGTTGTAAAATTCAACCGAGCTTCGTTCGGATATCGTGATAAAAATCAGTTCCTGGAGCCCCTGGGCCAAGCACGATTTTGTTGACGAGGCATTGAACACAGCTTGAGCATTATTGCAAGCGAGTTGCATGGAGTTTGGGCTTCAAGGGGAACAAGCCCAGGCCGGCATTCACATTCAGTCGGGCAAGCTTGCAGTAGGCAGAAAGACAGGCGTCCTCAATAGTTCGACAGCAAACTGCAAAGGCTCACTTATCATAATCCAGCAGGTTTTCAGCCGTAAAATGCAGCCCGAGACTCGGCCCTGTATTGCAGCTGAACAGCACTGTTATCATCCACATAGCGGGGCGACTGCTCCACCACATTCAAGAGAACAGCAAGGTTGTACCTGACATATAATGCATAGGTCAATCGGTTTCAAGCATCCACTGTCTTACTGCGATCTAGTAGCACACACTGGGCCATGAGGCAGAGCTCATCATCAAAAGGATCCTCCAAAGCCAGATTCGAAGTTTCATCTCCGAGCCAGGCTATGATCACCCGAGCCTTGAAGCAAAGCTTATAACATCGACGAGGCTCCGATAGCTATCTGCAGCAAAGAAACATTAAAAGCCTTCACCCCGAGCTCCATCTCCCCGTCCGAGGTTCGCAGAATCTTCGGCGTGAACGGTGGTTGCGAGTGCCTGTGCTGAGAGATACTGCTAAGTTGTGCAGGGGCGAGCTCTGTAGGGGTGTGGGCTTAGGCTTCAGGGTTCCAAAAATTGATTTTGGTTTGGGCTTGCGGGTTGGACATTGCGAGATAACTTAAGGGCTTAAGGATTGCGTGGGATTTATTTGGATGGTTTCGTTTTAAAACTATGCTGTATATACAGCCTAGCAACTTGATCTTTCGTTCTGCACACCATGCCCTGAAGTGCTTGTAGCCCTCTTTCAGCTTGGTTGCCGCGGTCCCCTGCCCCCAGTAGCCCTGCATGCAGGGGTATGTGTTGTAGCAGAAGCAGTATCTCTTTAACGACACCGGGCCCAGCCTTGCTCATGAGCATGGAGAAAACACCAGCTCCGGCCCAAATACAAATGCCGAGGTTCACTGTGTGAAGTGAACACCAACGAATCATTGCATGGGTCACACCACGAATCGCGAAAACATGACCTGGAGAGTACGTATTGGAACCTCATCCCTTCCTAGCAACATAGGCTACACCTGAATTGTGGAATTCGAAGCTTCGTGGCTGGGCTGGTCGGGGTTCTTCAGGCAGCACTGTAAGAAGCCGTTGGGCCCATGCATGGATCGTCGAGGGTTCTTGTCTGGGCTGTAGGGCACCACCAGGAAGTTTCCCGAAGTTGCTGTGCAGTGGTGGCACAGGCAGGTCGACGACCATCCGGTGCGGAGGTCCAGCCATTCCTCACCCATGACTGCTATGATCAACTACTTAGGCTATTTAGCCACTGAGCCTTAAAACATAAAACCATTAGGGTTTAGGGTTTTTATAGGGTTTAGGGTTTCGGGTTTTATAGGGTTTAGGGTTTAGGGTTTTATAGGGTTTAGGGTTTAGGGTTTATGGTCTAGGATTCGGCGAGCCTTCAGGAACTTCCAGTCGCCCCGGAGCTCGCAAACACAGGCTCTGAGAGGGGCTTGGCGATTTGGACTTGTTAGAAGACACACTGGGGTGTCGGTCTTCTCGGGGTCCAGGGAATCGCAGATTCCTTTGGCGTTCAAGATCGGGGATGCAGGGGCGAAGCCGAACATCAAGATGTTCAGTGAAGCCACTACCTAGGAAGGAGGCCCAGCAGAAGAATTGGCACTGGACATATGAACATCGTTCAGAAAAGGCACGGGCTCCATAAAAGCCTGCATGGTCTCGTTGCCGACGGCCAAAGCCTGATCGTGAGAACCATCAAACTTCGGCTAGAGTGTAGAGGCTGCATCAAGGGCTGAAGACATAACTATGCTGTAAAAGCAGGCCTCCCGGTAAATGAAGAGGGGGTAGTGGGTCATCATGCTGTTGTCTCTCTCGTCGAGGCAGCACCCCATCATCAGCACCGTCATCTTGTCACCATTCTCGTTCAGTTGTGTATCGTCTCCATACAGGAACAAAGGCACAGTCATATCGGCACCGTCGCGAACACAAGGGTGTTCCTTTGCCCACGACATATGTTTGGCACAGTGCTGCCAGTAGACCCGGACGTCCTTCATAGCAGTGCCGAAGGCTTCCCGGAACCCTTTGGTGGGCACTAGCACCTGAAGTAGTTCGTGAGGAAGTACAACAGGCATCAGCCTCATTTGCATGGGAACATCATCCAGGAACCAGTGACTAGTTCGTGCATAGGTACTTCAAGCCACCCCCGAGCCTCTCTTCACGATCGGCCTCCCACACGTTGTTAAGCATGGGCACTCTGACCTCGCGAATCGGAACCTTAGCTACAAATGTACAAGAACGAATGCCATGAGCCTGATACCTTGAGCTATTCGGGTGAGCCACCATGTCCAAACCATCCCGCTTGAGGGCTCGAACCATATCACGTTCTACATTGGAGGCCCACTTTCCCGAAGTTCCTGCTCGGCGTAGATGTTCGGCAGTCCCGGATAGCCCCAGCCCATGCTGAGCCAGCTCCTTCATGATCATATATAGGCTTTAATGACTAGCTAGTGCAGACCGATTTCAGACTGGATAGGGCTGGGGTATGCAGCTTAGGGTTTATGGTTAAGGAGGTTGACATTTGGGGTGTTGTTCTTGTGGGTCGGGGATATTAGGTAGGCCTTGACGAGTGCAGACTGATTTCAGACTGGATAGGGCTGGGGTATGCAGCTTAGGGTTTGGGGTTAAGGAGGTTGGCGCTTTGGGGGTGTTGTTCTTGTGGGTCGGGGATATTAGGTAGGCCTTGACTCGTGCAGACCGATTTCAGGCTGGATAGGGCTGGGGTATGCTGTACACATGTACATGCAGCTTAGGGTTTATGGTTAAGGAGGTTGGCGGTTGGGGTGTTGTTCTTCTGGGTCGGAATAGTATCTAGGCCAAAAACCCTAATTACGAAGCTTCTATTCGCTAAGTCCTCGTGCCCCTGGTGCAGAAGCTCCCTGCAGCTGCTGAACGACAAGTCCTGCAGACTGCAAGCTGCAGCGTGCAGACGATGCGAGGCCGATTGGTGCATGAACCCCCGAGCCCTGTCCCCCTGACCAGTGCTTCGTAGCAGATGTCGTGCAAGGGGACCAAGCTCAGGCCCATCAGCACCTGCGAAAGGATAGCTGTTGTAGTTATCGGTACGGTTATAAGAAGTCGAGTAAGCATCATGATGTAAAGCATCCCCGGCAGCTAGTGAAATGCAGCCAGTCTTTCGTCAGCTGTCTCATGAACGACAAACCCAGGATCCGCCCGGGCTTGAAATGATGTGTGCTTTCAGCCTTTCAGCTAGGTGCAAAGCAGTGTGCACAGGACATCCCTAGGGCCAGGTCTAGACCAGCTAGCACTACAACCTTTGTAGATATGTACTATTGCTGCGAGCTACAGCGGCTGGCCGACCCGAGCAAAACTTGTCCACTCACACTTGCAGCGGTTCTAGCTAGCATACTCAGCAGAATACTTGGAGAAAAGCCATCACTCACGACTTGGCAGGTCCCGGAGCCGACTTCGCTTTCGCCTTGCCCTTCGGCTTGGGCTCTGCCTTGGGAGGAGGGCAAGTTAAGGGGGCTTTATCCAAACCTAAAATTAATGAGTTCGTTGCAGGACAGCTGCTGTTGCATTGCGGATGGTTTTCGCAGTCGAAGTGAATGTAGCGACGGCTTCATTCAAGGCATCGATAAAGCCTTGCAAATCGCCCTTGTGATTCGAGGGATCCGTGCCCAGGCTCGTGTCCACGGCCTGCACTGCCTGCTGGATCGAAGCCACATTCGCATCGAGGTCCGACAAGTAGCCGGCCTTCATGGCACCCGACCTGGGATTGGAGGGGTATTCAGATCTGAATATGTTGTAGGGGAAGCGATCCAAAGTCCAAGGCATCGTATCGGCAATTGAAACCTGCTTGTGGATCACTTGTCTCGCTAGATACATAAAATAATAAATCAAGCTACATCTTCGCGGCGGAGAAGGCAGCAAGCTGGGTCCTCAAGCTCTGAGCGTCAAGAACCTTGCTGTTGGCATCCTTGGTCTTGGAATGGGCCACCTCTTGAAGGCTCTTCACCTGTGCAGGGAGAGGTACTAATCATCGACCCGATATGACAGTAAATAGCTTTAGAGTTAAAACCCTAGGCCATACGAATTTCGGACTTACACCCCTGTAGTTTAGGGGTTCAGGGGCTTTAGGGTTTTGTTTGGGGTTTAGGGTTTTTAGGGTTTAGGGTTTTATGAACTTTAGGCCCTAGATCATCCATACATGCGATTTCTTAGCCTCCAGGCAAGTCCTAGCTGCGGGGCAACTGCACAACCATACCAGTACCACTGCAACATGCACTTTGAATTAAAGGGGTGCGGGGTTTAGGGTTTTTCATAGAGGAGTTCGCTAGGGACAGCCGACCTTCTTGGGTTTAGGGTCCTTCTTCTCCTTCTTCTCCTTTTTGTCGTCGCCGGGATTTTCTGCACATGCACCGGCACTCGCACGGGCGGCAAAGGGGTCGAAGTCGGCTTCGCCCACGGAACCCGTGGCTGACAGATCCTGCCTTAATTATAAACGAAAACTCATTAAGTCATGATCAGCAGATCATGGATTACCGGCTCTTCCTGACTAAAGTGGCACATTGAGCAAGGCCCCGACAGGAGCTGGTGGGTCTGCTGCTCATTTAGATCCACAGCGGCCTGGACGGTTGTGGAAGTCGTCTCGGTCTGGGAAGTATCCACGGTGGCTTCGTCAAAGACCCGAATAAGGGTCCACCCATCAAGGTCCGGCATGTCTGGGTGCTTGAGGATGTAGGGCTTCTCGTTGAGAGGCCTTCTGGCCTCCAACTTTTCCTTGGAGGTCCTCATGGCTTTGGCGATTGTTTCGCCGTGTTTCTCCACTAGGTCCTCATACTTCACGTACCGGTCCTTGTTGGAAGCCCTCTTGGAGTTATCCGTCGAATGGGTTCGCATGACATTACTCTTCATCCAATCTCCACCACACTGGAGGAAGTCGTCGAACAATGCCGACAATACGGCTTGATCTTGGTAATACGATATCGATGGGCTGTTCAACTGAAACCAGAAACCTATGCTATGTATGAAATAAAGCTAGACTCTGCGTCGCTTCCCGGTCTTGTTGCGGTTCGCGGCAGCGAGGACTTCGGGCGGGCACTGCGGGCCTGGGATGCCACTAGGGAAAATGCAATATGTACTGCTGCTTTAATCCTATATGTAGCCGATGTAGCCTGCTATTTGAAGTCGAGCTGCTGTTCAAACTTCGATTAAACCGCATGTAGTAGTTGTGTGCTAGGCGGGCCTGTCGCTCTTCCTCGGTCTCTCCTTCCTTCAGGAACAGGCAGGCTTCCTGCCGAGGGCGAGGTTTAGAGTTTAGGAGTTCGGGTTTAAGGCCTAGGGTTTAGGACCGGGGATTAAATTAAGGGTGATCTTGTGCATTTGGTTCAAGGTTTAAAACGTGGGGCTGTGAGGTTGGGATTGACATATGCATAGCCTTAGGTCCTAGCTATAAGCTTGGGGCTTTGAAGGGCGATGCAACATCGGGGTTCGCAGAAGGTGCCAGGAGCCCTAGGGGTTTGTGGGTGTGAACCAAACTACTAGTTATGTCAAGCTCTAGTTTGAGGATGATAAAAGTTTACTACCCTAAACTTTGACTGAGCTCGCAAAACCCCACAAGCCCTAAATGCAATTCTATCTGGATCTTCTCGTTGCAAACCCGAGACATAGACAGAGAGAGAGTGTGTCTAAATTTAAATTTGGATCCACAAACAGACCTGAAATTAGCTCGTCCACGAAAAAAAAACATTTGCCCCGAAGTCCTGCAACTGAATCGTTTGAGGGCGGTTGAGGGCTTGGTGAACGGCGGCGGTCTTAGCCATCTGTGGCGCTGGGGGCTGCTGCTGGGCCTCGGGATCGGCGGAGGTCGTGGGAACCTGGGGCCCCGGGTCAGCCTGCACAGGCTGCACTGGTGCCACTGGCTCTTTCACTGGCTCTTCGGGCTGCTTTGGAACCTGCATGCGGAGGCAGGATTGTCTACAAGGTTGCTTGTGCGATGTTTGGAGACAGCTGGGGCTTCTAGCTATTCTAGCTAATGTTTAGGGTTTAGGGTTTAGAGTTTAGGTTTAGGGATTCTGCCTTGAGGGGATCAGCAGCTTCAGCTTCCATCGCCGTATTCTGAGAGGTTTTCGCGAGGGGCTGCTCGTCTAGACCCATCATATCCAGCTGCATCGACAGCTCCATCTCTATATCCTCGCAGGACATGCCCTGTCCCAGCTGATCGGGTGGCCCCGACTTGAAATCCTCGAACAGGCTTGCAAGCTGCAAGGATGCCCCCAAAAGTGCCTGCGTGGCAGAGGCCCTGACGGGGCCAAGATCGGCCTTCAACTCCTCAATCTTGTTGTTTGCCCAAGCATCGCAGCGGCCCAACTTCTGCTGCATCACTTCGGCTTGCAAGGGTTGCTTTCGGATCTTGTCTTTCATATCCTTGACACTCTTGTCAATGCTGCTCAAGAAGCGGTTGACCTTCGCCTCGGCGGTGCCCACCTCTCGTAGTGCCTGCCAAGCATCGTTGACAGTGAACAACATCAAGTGCCCTGTATCCTGCCAAGACAGAGTAGGCAATCTCTCTCGTAGGTGCCGCTGCACGGCCGCCTCGTCGACGACTCCCTCATTCGAAGGTCGCCAGGCTTCACAAAGCCAATCCAAAAAGGATGCAACCTCTGAGGATTCTGACTTGTGTTGCGAACGGTTACTCTTGAAGTAGCTGTCGTATATGAGCTGCGGCAAGTCGGGGTTCGAATCCACGTCCATGTTCAATGAGTTCTGAGTGTCGCTCCTTGAGAAAGTGTCCATGGCCAAGGAGTTCTGAGTGTCGCCCCTTGAGAGAGTGCTCTGACTATCCATGCCATGCAGGTCTAGTGGAGCGGCACGATGCAGACCTTAAGTTCCACCATATATGTCATAGAAACCGGCAAGCTAATATGTGAAAAACACTATTTATAACGATCCCTTTAAATTTAGAGGCACGGGGCTGGTCTGCTGCGATGGCTGCACATTGCCACTGCTGGTCAGGATTGGTGGCACGACATTGCCACTGCTGGTCTGGATCGGTGGCGCGACATTGCCATTGCTGCTCGACTCCTCTAGAGTGTCCTTCTGAGTCTCCTGGAGACGGTTTCGCGTTTCGGGTTTAAGGTTTAGGGTTTACAGAGTAAGTGGAAGTATCTTGTATGGGAGCTAGTGATGTCCTCAAACTGCAAGGTTTTCTTGGCACTCGTAGCTTTGGGTTTCTTCTCTGCGGGGGAGCGAATCGGCGTACTCGGCGGGGGCGTGCGGGCGGGAGTTTGGCCTGCTTCAGGACGAGGAACGGGGGGCCCGACAGGGGTGGCTGCAGTCGGATCAGCCTTGATTCCCAAGCCCAAAGGGCGGGATGGTGTATGCATCCCCGATTTGGCCTTCCCAGGTGTCGTCATCTTCGACGGAGACTGGTTGGGACGAGCACCTGGGCAGTGCAATGAGTGCTAACTCTATGTGGCTTTGTGTGAGCGAGCTAGTACGGGTAGATTTGAATCATGTCCTCGCTATAATATGCTGACCGGGGTCCGATGGATTTCGTTGCAGACGGCGGGGTCTTCTTGTGCTTGCGGAAAGAAGGAGTAGGTGTGGAGGAGCTTGGGGATGGGACAACACCGGCCCCCGTCCCTCCGGTTTCACCTGAGGGGTTAGGATGAGGGTTTTGGGTTTAGATTAGAGGGGCCTTAGAGGGGTTATTGTTAATTTAGGGCCCCAGACCCTGCGAGCAAGCTAAGTAGGAATTTTGGAAGGACATCAGGATTTGCTCGTAGCGACAAGTTACCCTTTACTCGTTTAATGCCAGCAGTTTAAAGTCGGTTGATGCCTCGGCCATAAGCAGCAAGAGCAGCTGCGACTTCATCGTCGATGTCCTTGTCGCTCTGGCGACGTTTCAGGGCCTGTGGAGTCGGGCGGTTCTACATGCGAGGAAATAGGGGTAGGTAGGCGGGTAGCTGGGTTTAGGGCTTAGGGTTTAGGGTTGGGTGGGTAGGTAGGTAGGTAGTACGTAGGTTGCTACAGTAAGTCGGCCTGCTTGCTCGCATCGGTAGCACCGGAAGCCATGGTATCACGATACGGGCCCAGAAGCCTCTACGGTAACAACCAGGGAAAACAGAATAACGGCAAATAACGGCAAATATCGGCGCATTCTGCCCCAGGTAGCACCCAGAACGCCAAATAACGCTAAAATAACGCTCGGCTGTTTTCGGTATTTTCCTAGAACACCGGACGAAACTTACATTCCCTGGACACAAGAGCTTGAAAATCTTGCAGGAAGCACGGTGCTTGCGAGCATTCTCTCCTTCTTGCACAAGAAGCTGCTTGGTCGGAGTGCATGAGCTGCATTCAAGGGCTGCAAATCAAGGGTCGCTTGTTTTTTCTCGGTTCCGACAGAACTCAGGCGTAGCTGCACATGGGGACTTGCTAGGCCCAAAGCCACAAAAGTTACATCATTGCCGACAGCCTTCTATGTGCATCTACCGAGCTGCATGGGAAGTAGCGAAGTCCTCAAGGGCACGGCCCATGCTGATTAGCCAGCATTTGGGCTCAATAGAAATTTCGGAAAGGCCTACGACCCCAGCGACTCCCTAGGGCCCCTAAAACTTGAAATGACCCGATCAAAAATTAACGAGGCCCCCACCAATCGCCCCAAACAGGGCAGAGGTTTCCGTGTAGCTATACATAGAGTAGCAGCAGAAGAAGCAGCAGTGCTAGTAGCCATGGAGGTGTAGTAGTAGTAGTAGTAGTAGTAGTAGTAGTAGTAGAGTAGTTATTAGTAGTAGTAGTAGTAGCAGCAGGTAG